TGGGCTCAATAGTTCAGTGCAAAGGGCACACGTCGCTCACAGACAATATTCACAATTAAGGGGTTTATTAAGGAAGTTTATAGGTTACAAATGATACAAACTCAAACTCACATTCACTGCCATAGAGTTGATGCTGACGCTTAATAACCTTATAGGATAGGAAAGAACTTACCCTGTGGGTACCTCTTTCTGGGACTAGAAAGCCCTGTCTTTCTCCCATGGAGCTGCTGGTGGTTTCGAACTGCTGACCTTGCAGTTAGCTGCCCAATGTGTAACCACTATGCTACCAGGGCTCTTGACAAATGACTAGGATACCATGATTTAGATTGAACAGCCTCTTCTAAGCCTTGCCAGCTGGCAGGCCCCTCTCTCTGGTCTTTTGACTGCTCTGTCCTTTGGCCCATTGGTTTCTGCCTTGTTCATGCCATGTTAAGAAGCCTTCTCTGGGCTGTTTAAACGTGCCTCAGGGATAGGACACATCATTACACACCTCAACCTGAAGGTACCCAGCTCCAGCTCCAGCCCCATGGGTTAGCAAAGCAGCTCCCTCATTTGTGAGCCACCACAAGACAGCCTCCAGTCCTCAGCTGCACTTGCTCAGTGGACAGGGAAAGCCACCCACCTCTCTGTCTCAGGATGTGACTCCTGGTGTCAGAGCTGTCTCCTGGATCCAGGAGGTTCCATGCGCTGGGATCTTGGGGAGAAAAGGCCATGCTCCCCTCCTGGCTCGGCTCGGCCTACCTCGTCTCTTCTGCTGGGAGCAAAATCCCACCTCCTGCTTCTGAGATGGCTCATTTTATACCCAGCAGGATGGCGCCCACAGTGAACCCTGTTAGCCATCACACGCAGCTGAATCATAACCCAATCAGTATCCTCCACCACCACCTTCACTAGATCCGTCAGGAAAACAAGGCTTGTTTGGTGGGAGGAACAAAAGTTATGGCTTGAAAAGCCATATTAAACAATTCCCTGCATCTCAGTGTCCTGATACTCATGAAACCATTCACTGCATCTCAAGGTCCGGAAACATTCTTGAAGGAAAACAAGGTCGCAGCTCTCCTGCTGTCGTTCGTTCGCTTGACCTGCAAGCCATTGGTGAGGTGGCACCTTACTATATCCTCTTGCCATTTCCCTCCTGATTCCAGGCCCTGGTGACAGCAGAGCCGTGTCTCCTCATTTGTTTTGCCTTGTGCGGACCTGCTCTGAGTCTCCGCTTGTCATTCCCATTGGAACACAGAGCTTCTCAAGAACCAGTCCTCATGCCTTAAACACGGTGCAGCCTGGCTTCCCATTGCACACTCGATACAGCGCATGGTCTGCAAAGCCCTTCCCAGTTTGACCTACATGGGTTTCCAGCTGCACCTCTGGCTAATCCCCATCTTACACGCTACAATCCAGCCACAGTAGATGCCTTGCCTTCTCCATGCTGAGCACCCCCAGGGACCTTATTGCTGTCATGATGGCAATATTTGATGTTTGTGCAAATGGAGTGACATGAGCTTTTTCAGGAACGCGATGTGTGCCGGATCACTGAGTCAGGTTGACATTTCGTTAGGTCAGGTGGGTTTTGGTAAATATTATGTGAGACAACTGCACTGCAGATGTAGCTAGCTGGGATGAGGTTTGGGATGAATCATTTTCTCTCTCAACAACTTGTATTTTATGGTGTGAAACTTTTGGAAACAGAAAGGGGCCCAGACAGGCACCCTGCACTGTTTGTACATAATGATTGCTCGGCTCTCCTTTTCTTCTTAGGCCTGCATCCTCTGCCTCACGTTCTAGATGACTTATCAGATAAGTGCTTCCCAGCCATCGGAGCCCTGCGTCCTCTGGTACCCCACTCACTCCTGGTCTGTTCTTCTCAAGTAGAGAGGGTCTTCATATATATGAATATATATATATCTCCCTACGTCCTCTGGTACCCCACTCACTCCTGGTCTGTTCTTCTCAAGTAGAGAGGGACTTCATATATATATATATATCCCTACATCCTCTGGTACCCCACTCATTCCTGGTCTGTTCTTCTCAAGTAAAGAGGGTCTTCATATATATGAATGTATGAATATATATATAAAACATTTCCTGGCCCTCAGCGAGCTATTGAATGAGAGCAAGCCCGACTTCATATATATGAATATATATATATATATCTCCCTACATCCTCTGGTACCCCACTCATTCCTGGTCTGTTCTTCTCAAGTAAAGAGGGACTTCATATATATGAATATATATATATATATCCCTACATCCTCTGGTACCCACTCACTCCTGTCTGTTCTTCTCAAGTAAAGAGGGACTTCATATATAACCTTGTGTGGCTGCTTACAATGCCACAGTCAGTAAAAAAATATAGCCCTCCGCGCCACCCTTTGAGAGCATACCATTTGATTGTGCCCCTTGCTCGCCGTGGCTGAAAGCAGCCCACCCCTCCTGTGATCACACTGGGTTCTGCAACGGCTTTCTCTTGGGCCAGGGATTTCCGAGGAACCAGTTGCTCTTTCTTTGGATACTCGTGCCGCCCTTTGCCTTGTGGAATGTTGGCAACACTGTCGCTGGCTTCCTGTCTGGACACACACCCTATGGTATGAAGCAGAGCTGTATCTGTCCGCTTCTCGAGTCCTGCAAGCCCCTTTCGGTTAGCTCGTGCTGTGCCTGCTCTTGCTCCATGCTGTTCTTCAACCCAGAGGAGGAGGACAACGGTCCAATGCGACGGCCCGAGAGAAGGGTTGCAGGACTGATTGACATCGTCCAAGGATAACACTCTCACCGAGGGAGAGAGGTGGACCACGGTCTATGCCTTTTTCTTCCCAAGAAGAGGTACCAAATGGATGTACAAAGCCTGTTTGTGGGTCAGATGAGTACCAGACCCTGTACCCATGCTTGCCACGCTTCCTTGCCACGCACTGTGTTATTGATGAATGGCCTGTGTGTGACACTAAACTTTCATCGGCTGCCATGACACTTGATAGTGCATTCATTTCTTTTCGGAGGCCAGGGAAAACATCGACAATTGGGTGCAATTTGTGAGGCCGGCCACGGCCAGGCTGTCCTTTGTGCTAGGTTTTTGAGTTATCACTTCAGTGTGTGCTCTTGGTGTGTACCTTCCTTCTTTCCTTCCCATCCTTCTCTTTATTCCTTCCTTCCTTTCTAGCAGCCACGATCTCCCTGTTGATGGTTTATATATTTACCTCTCCACTCTTTATGGTGAATTAGGTGAAGGTTTTCAGAGACAGTGATCAGCTTTCCACTCAACAGTGCATTCCCCATTTTGTTTCTCCTCAGCCAGGGCGCTCCTGCAGTGGTCCACCATTTATTCCACTCTCCATTCCTCCTCCTCCCCTGACTCTCTTGAACTTTGTCCTTGGGTAAATGCTGCCCTTTTGATTTGAAATCTTTGATTATTTTGAGGTGTGTGTCCCTCACCAGGGTTACTATCTTCCTTCGGGGTCTGTTTATTGCTTGGCTGAGAATTGAGCCACAGAGGTGAATTTAGCTCTAGACCTGAAGGGTGCCTAAGGGCCACATTTAGGGAGATTAGTTCAGTCTCTAGCCAACCAGTAAGCTTGGTCTGTTTCATGATTTGGAGTTTTGTCCCACGTTTTTCTCCCATGCTGTCCAAGACCGTCCAATGTGATACTGTTCAGAGCAGTTGGCGATGGTAGTTGGGCACCATCTAATTCTTCTGTTCTCAGGGTTGGGAGACTGCCATTATTGTGGTCCATTAGTCTATTGGCTAATTATTTCCTGTACCCTTTGATTCTCATCATTCTTCTTTGCTCTGGTTGGGGAGAGACCAAATCGTGCACCATGGATACTTTAAAGATGCATGTCATGAGCTTTGTAGACTCCTACTGGTATTCGTTACAGTAGGATTTAGAACATTGGTTTGATGGACCCCGTTGAACCAACAGGCCTTAGTGTTTTCCAAGACAGTGGTCCTGAGCCCCCTGGTCCAGTGATTCATTCCCTTTCGGTCAGTTTTTTGACTCTTATTTCAGTCATAAACTACAACAGAAGCAATGTCTAAGAGGGTTTGGTATCACTGGACCAACATAAGCTTATCAGGATATTCACAGTAAGGAATGTGTATACAGTGTACACACGCAGGGAGCCTGCCAGCTTTGCTCGGCATTCTCAATCACCTGTCCTGAATATCGTGTTGTGCACTCTTGGCAACCTAAAGATTTGTTTGGTCCTTTATAATCTCCAAAAGCTCTCCTGTAAACACAGACAAAAAATAACCTATTCGGTATCTCCATGGGTCAAGGTCAGGTGAACTCTGGCATACAACTGAAGCGACTTTACTACAGTTCCAAATCAGAAACACCGTCACACTGTTCATCTTTGTCTTCTTTCCTTCATCGTGGGCATCCTCGTTAGCTCCGCCCTTTCTTTCTGAACACTGTTTCCTCAGCCTCTGATCTCAGGTCTGAGTCCTGCCTGTTGCCCTCAAAATGGGCTTCATAGTCGAATAACGTTCATATCCCTTATCTTCCCATCTGGATTGGAAATGCCTTAGAGGCAGGGTCTATGTCTCATTCCATGCCTTTTCTAATGCTTAGATGCCACCTTTGACTGGTGGGAGTTCTGCTTGGAGGTGGACTTTCTTTCACGTGCTGGTGGCAGGACCGTTAGGGAGCGTTTCTCAGCCCACGTCATCCTCTACACTCTCCCTCGTCCCTCCTCTCAGTGTCAGAGAGGACATGTTGTTGAATATCAATGAAGCTCATGCTATGTATATACCGAACAGTGAAAGAAATCCCTCAAGGGCACTGCTCATAGAATAAACATGATCACCAGAACGCACATTACTGTTTCTGTACAGGCGCACGTGTGTGTGTGTGTGTGTGTGTGTTTTGCTTGTGAGCGTGATCAAACCATGCTAAATGAAACATCAGAGGAAGTCTAAGAAGCATAACTGCACATCTAACTCGGGCCCTGCAGCCCTGCTTTGGGCTGTTCCCAGGTGAAATTTGTCTGTATCTTTCATTGTCTGTCAGGCTGAGCTCCAGAAGCTGAGGCAACAAGCCCTGGAGACCAAACACTTCATTGAAAAGCAAGAAGCAGAGGAGAGAAAACTCCTGCGAATCATTGCTGAGGCTGATGGTGAGAGGTTGAGACAGAAGAAGGAATTAGACCAGGTAGGAACACCTGCGGACCTGCCGCCCTCTCCAGGTATCTGAGTCAACTCCTCCTGGATCCTCATTCCTAGCTAAGCACGCCCAAGAATAGCGGCAGAGGTCTACCTTCTGCGGATGAATTATGAAAAAGGCATTCATTTATTCCACTCATATTTATGAGCCCTTCCTGACTAGGTGTCAGTCATGAGGCTGGGCCTGGGGGACACATGATGGACAAGAAAACGGCCCTTCTTCGCCAGGAGCTCACATTCCACTGTAATTGCTCAGGCAGACTTCTCAATGATATTCAGGAAGTTTGGGAGCTGGAAACTCAGATGTGTCACTCAGCAGCTAGAAACTCCACTGCTTTCAGGGACCTGGCGGGCAACACTGGATGAGGTTGACCAGGGTAGGGCAGAGAGAAGTAGGTAACCAGTAGAAGGTTCTAAGGAGGGTGGGAGAAAAGGGTGGCACTAACCTCAGGTTTCTGAAAAAGGCCAGTGTTACTGGTCTGACGGAGACTGGTGAAACACTTGGGGCCCTTCACCTCTGGACCCGCACTCAGGCCTGGGGTTCAATGTTCACCCAAATAGCAGACAGGACCGTTTTGTAAAAGGAACACGCAGTATCAGGGAGGAGTGTTCCCTTCAGACCAACCCATCCTCAGAGACCCAAAGGGTGGCCTCTGCCCCAAACCACAACCCAGAAGGCAGGACGGAGCAGGAGGGGAGGACGGATGGAAAATGGGAACCCAGGGAGGAGATGGGCAGAGGGCGATTCAATTAGGGACATTACACTCTAGGTCACAAAACAAGACGTGCATAAAGTGTTGAGTGGAACAATTTGCTTTGTAAACGTTTGCCCAAACCACAAGAAAAAGTTAACAAACCAACCCAACCAACAGAGACGTGGTGCACCTTGGCAAGAGCTGGCCCACCTTCAGGTCATTCAAAAGTCAACATTTACAGCAAACAATGTCTGGGAATCAATCAAAATGGCCCACTCGTGGGCCAATACATGCCATCCAGTCGTTTCCCATCCACTGTGAGCTTCCCTAGTGGGCTGCTGAGACTGTGAGTCTTTGAGGGTTCAGAAGCTTCATCTTTCTCCCGGAGCGGTGGGTGTTTCAAACGGCTGACCTTGCGGTTAGCAGTCCAGTGCTCAACCCACTCTGCCTCATGGATCCTCCTCATGGGTCAAAGCCATGGCTTATTTGTTGACCTCTTTCTCTTTCCAAGGAAGCTGTGAACTCTGATGGGAGGAGGCCTGTGTGGATTGTCTAGCAGGCTATTTTTAATGCCTGACCACGTGGTAGTGGTTTAAGCATTGGGTTGCTAAACCTCAAGATTGTGTTTCAAACCCACCAGCTGCCCCAAGGGAGAAAGGAGAGGCGAGACTGTCTGCTCCCATTAAGATTTACAGTCTTGGAAACCCTCTGGCACGATTCCACTCTGTCCTAGAGGTCTACTGTGAGCTAGAATAGGCTCAACAACTGTGGGTTGGGCCTGGACAGATGGGCCGTCCGTAAATGCTCACCGATTGAATGAATGCTGCTGTCTTAATCGAAAATGAGACTTTCGGTCAGTGAGTGATAGTTTTCTGATGGACATGCTCTTCCCCATCGTTCTAGGTCATCAGTGAGAGAGATATTCTGGGGTCTCAGCTTGTTCGACGCAATGACGAATTAGCTTTGCTCTATGAGAAGATCAAGATCCAGCAGTCCGTGCTGAACAAAGGGGAGAGCCAGTACAACCAGAGGGTGGAGGACATGAGGATCCTCAAACTTGAGATCAAGAAGCTGCGCCGGGAAAAGGGGATTCTTGCTCGAAGTGTGGCGAATGTGGATGAGCTCAGGTGAAAGGAGACCGTCGGGGCTGAGGGCACTGGGCTTGCTTGGGGCTCCTGAAGCAACCTTGTTTCCACGCTTGTTGGTGACTGAGGCTCTCTATCAAATTGTATAAAGTCATTTTCATGTGATGCAGTCCTTCAACAAGTAACTAGGGTAGAATCTACACGGTATTTGTGTCATTGCGAATGTGAACCCATTTCCTTTCTGAAGGGAAAAAGAGTTAAAGCAAAACTAAACAAAAAACAACCTTTTCTGTGTGTGTGTGTGTGTGTGTGTGTGTGTGTGTGTGAGTTTTTAAGTCAAATTACCAACACATACGAGTTACAATTCAGAAGGCAGGCTTTCTCCAGTGAGCTCCGTAGAATGTGTTTGATAAGGCTGATGCAAGAGGCGGTGTGCCAATATTGAAATATAATCTTGGCAACAGCGGCTCATCGTCCTCTTAGAATCTCAGACAGAAGGAAAGAGCTGAAAAAATGGGCTTTTATCACTATGTGCAAACTCTGCCTCCTTAGACGGTGGCCAACTTCTACATCTTACTCTTGGTTACCTCCTGCAGCTTTCGGTTCAGCCCACTGTGCCACCTTCTTTGCTGAGATCTTGCCTGACCCAAGATCTTCACTCCCTCTGGGAACACATCACCGTGTTTTACACCGGTGATTGCCGGAAACCAAGTCAGAGGCCTGGTGGTTTCTCAGCAGTTAGGCTTATTCCCCGCAGACTCATAGGTGAGCGGTCCCCATGACCACCTTGGGGCAAGGACACCCTTTGAATCTGCTTCTCAAATTAATTTGATTAGAAAAGAGTGCTGATATTCGAGGCAGAGTTGCCACTGGCAAGGATGGATCGCTCTCTGTCTCTCTCTCTCTATTGTTTTCCCAGTTCTTGTAAAACTTTTTATTGTGAGCTGGGTGAAAGTTGACCGAGCCAATTGGTTTTCCATTCCACATTTCAGGCACATTCTGTCGGGTGACCTGGATTGCAATCCCCGCAGTGGGACGCCAGCACACTCTTCCCTCTTCCGCCTCTGTTTCCATCCATCCCTTTTTCCTACCCCTTCCTGTCGTTGACCTTTACCCCTGGGCACATGTTGATTTTCGGACCTGGTGTGGCTGCTTGAAGTTGTGCTGTACTTGCCTGGTGTTGCTCTTCACTGTATAGGCCTAGTGTTCAGTTGGACACCGAGCAACCGGAGTAGCTCAGTTCCAGCCTTGAAGGGTGACGCAAGGCTCTATAGTCTTGGGGGTCCCACTGGCCTCTCTGTGACCAGAAAGCCTGTTTTTCTTTTTGTTTGTCTGTTGTTGTTTTTTTACCATTTTGAGTTTTGTTTCACATTCTTCATCCACTCCATCCAGGACCTTCTATTGCACTCCCTTCTAGAGAGGTCAGCAGTAGTGGGCAGACACTCCCTGGTTTCTCTGGTCTCAGGGCCATTGAGGCTGACGGTTTCATGGTCCATTAGTTCTTTGGGCTCATGCTTTCCATTCATTTTGGATTTTTCCCCCACTTTTCTTTGCTTCAAATGGGGAGGGACCAATAGTTGCACCTTAGATGGCTGCTCACAGTTGCTTCTTACCAAAGTGGAATGTAGAACATTGCTTTGTGGACTTAAATATATATATATATATTTATAATATAATATGTAATATTATATATAATATTATAATATAATTTATAATATAAATATATATATTTTTTTATTTATGAGTTAAATATATATATATGACTTCTATATATTTAAGAGTTGCTTATCCTTCAGATAATGGAAGTAAAACTTTCAAAAATGTGAGAAATGCATAAGACTTCTAAGGATTAGAAAATCACTCATAACTTTACTACCTAGAGATAACATGACTTATGTTTTGGAGGCAAATCCATTTGTTCTAAGTAGCTATTGAATGATCTCCAAGACTATCAATAAACTTGCCAGTCATGAGGTTTTTTTTTTAAGAACCAGATTTGATTCATTATGGGTCATTATTGTTAGTTTGTTGAGAATAGACTTTTTCTTTTCACAGGGAAGAGACTTTAATAAAGCAACTGGAGGCAAGCAGCCATAAATTCCACTCTCAGCCTTGGCACATACAAGCTGTGTGACCTTGGGCAGATCACCTAACTTCTCTGAGCGTTGGAGGCATAGTTAAGACTAAACATGGACATGCATGTGCAGCGTCTAGCACAAGATAAGCAGCCAGTGACAGTAACGAATATCCTTGTCCTTCTCTTCTGATGACACTTTAGAAAGTGCAAGTGTTAAAAATATGCTTTTAATTCCAAGCAGCTTGTTCTGAGCTCCCTGTTGAGTGAACATCGTGCAGTTAATTCTAATGGTTTGTCTTGCTAATGAGGGGATGTTGCATTATTGGTTTAAATGAAGCAATTAAGTAAAAGAGATGGCTTAGTATTAGTAAGCTGCTCACCCTCAGCAGACGAAGACAGATAATAATATCCTTATTGCCCACGTCAATGCAAGTGTTTGCCTCTCCTCCCGCCCTCTAAGCAAGCTTCCCAGCCAGGGGGTGGCAGAACCTCACAGGCTACTGAGGAGGTTTGTACCACAGTCCCTCTGAACTGGAGGTGCCGTGGATTTCCAGAAGCACGATCATAGGCGGAGTTAGCTCTCGAGGAATTTTTAAGTCACTGATGTAGGTGTGGAGCATGAGAGTAACTGTTATCCCACCTCTTCACTCCTCAGTCCTGGCTGCCAATGAGATGTACCCACAAGACTTCTATACTTCAAAGTCCACGTGACACATTAGACTAATTAAAGTAGAAACCCTCTAAGGGTTGGATCTAGGCCCCCACCGCCACCCCTAAGAGTATGTTTTCACAGCTTCTCAGATACTTCCGACTACACAAAGGAGGAGAATCCAACTTGCGTGTCCCAGGCAGAAATCAGACATGCCTTCACACGCCAGCCTTCTTTTCCTCCAGTCTCACACCAAGTGTTCCTCCCACAACACTCCCCATTGCTACTCGGCTTGATGAAGTTGTTGCACAGGCCAGCGGAGCTCACACACCACCCTCACAATTAAGGAAGCTTCTTAGGGGACTTAACAGGTTACCACAAACCAGCATCAGAAAGCAGGAAGGATGCAGTGTTTGGTCCATGGCAGCACCTCTCCTCAGCCAGCGGCCATGTCTCTCTCTGGACCAAGGCCTCTCAGCCACTTGGTCTGTTGGCTTCTGCCTCCATAGTCCCTTGGCCGCTGCTCTGCCTCCCAAGTCTCATAGTCTCAGTGCTGCCCCTCTGTTCTGTCTTGTGAGTCACCGTCATCTTCATGGCAGTGGGTTTGGGATTTGGTGTCTCGGTCAGATTAGTAGGCCACTCTCTGTGTTCCCCAAAGTCTCCCTAATTCTCACTTTCTAACTAAGGCCTGGTGGCACAGCGTTTAAGCACTTGGCTCTAACGGAAAGGCGGGGCTTGGAACCACCAGCTGCTCCACCAGAGTAAGATGTAGCAGTCGGCTACCATAAATATTTATAGCCCTGAAAATCCTACGGTGGCAAGTCTACTGCCCCCTAGAGGGTCACTCGGAGTCGGGATTGTCTTGATGACAACACTTCTTTTTTTAATCTGTGACTTAATCTGTACATAGTAACCATTTGAAGACACCATATTCCAGTAGGCAGAGGATTTCCTTTTTTGGTTGTAGCTTTTTGTTACGGTTTGGGTGAAATTTTACACAGCAAATTCATTTTCCGTTCAACAAGGTCATGCTCACTTTGTTCCATGACATCAGTTGCAGTCCCCCAGTGTAACAGCGCTCCTCCTACTTGCTTCCTTAGCACCGCCCCCTGCCCCCCATTCTAGCTGCCCTCGTTTCCTGCCCCCCGGGCTGTAGTTTTGGGCAACTGCTGCCCTTTTGGTCTGGGATCGTTGGCTGTACGTGCACTGAAGAGTAAGCTCCTCACGGGCTCGTTATTCACTCGATAGGCCTGCAAGTTGTTTGATGGAAGGTTGATCTCCAGAGGTAGCTTAAACCCCAGGCTTGAAGGGTGTCTATGGTCACAGTGGTGGTGGTGGTGGTGGTGTGTGTGTGTGTGTGTGTGCGCGTGTCTTGGGATGGGAGTGAGGGGAGGGGTCCACCCGTCTCCATTTGTCTTTTTCTTTTTAACCATTTTATCGGGGGCTCTTATAGCCATTATCATCAACCATCCATCCATTGTGTCAGACACATTTGTACACATGTTGCCATCATACTTTTCAAAACATTTTCCTTCTACTCAAGTCTAGTCTGTTTCATGGGACAGAGGATTTCTCTGCAAATGAGATTTGTCTTCTCCAGGCAGGAGCTCTATCACATACAGAGAGAATTCTTGAAGGAGAGGACGCGGTGCCGAGCCCTGGAGGAGGAACTGGAGAACCCCATGAATGTGCACAGATGGAGGAAGCTTGAGGTAACACCTAGGGGCCTTCTTTCCCCGTCCCAACACCTTCTTCTTCTACCCCACTCCCTGCCCCATCCCCCAACCCCCGCTGCTTCTAACCAGAACCACGATAAGAAGCATGGCTTTATTTAATTCTGTGTAAATTGCCACCCCAAACGTAAGGCTGGATCAGATGTTTCAGAACCAAATGGTTCCCTTGGGTTTTGTTTAGTACATCTTGGACACAATCCCTTCTGCCTAAAACAGACCCAGGACTAGCTGTGAACTGGTCTTACTAA